GGTTAAGGGTTAAGGTTAGGGTAGGGGAAGGGGAAGCTAAAAGGGTTAAGGTTAGGGTCAGGGGAAGGGTTAGCTAACATGCTAAGTAGTTGCAACGTAGCTAAAAAGTAGTAAGTAGTTGAAAAGTTGCTAAAATGCTAAGGTTGTCGGTGATGAGATTCGAACATGCAACCTTTGGGTTGCTAAAGTTGTCGGTGATGAGATTCGAACATGCAACCTTTGGGTTGCTAGATGTTCGTGTTGCAAAGTAGCTAAAAAGTAGTAAGTAGTTGAAAAGTTGCTATAATGCTAAAGTTGTCGGTGATGAGATTTGAACATGGAACCTTTGGGTTGCTAGATGTTCGCGTTATAGTAGGGTTGCTAGATGTTCACGTTATAAGCCTACCCATCCACCCCGACCAACCACCCTCCTTTTGTTTTTACCTCCTTTCGTTTTTACCTTAAGTAACCTTCTGTCTTATGTAACCATACCAAATGTAACTTATCATACTAATTTGAGTGTTCCGGATTTGTTTACTATGGCGGCAGGAACTGAACAGGGAAACTCTGGACTCTGAGTTGAGTTGAATTGGGCTGCTTAGTGTTATGACCACTGACATAACTTGTTGACATAAAAGCCGCTGGCATGCATTCAGTTAGCCCTTCTCCCTGGCTGAATACAGTTACTTTACCCGTGGAGCACATCAAACAATGTCGAAATCCAGACCTTTCAGGTAGCCAGCCCAACTGCCAAGATAAAAAAAAGTCCCTTGGATTATGTCAACGCAGAAATGACAGATGACAACAAGATAACCAGCATATTTGAGTTTCTCTATTGAGGAATGAACAGAGAGGATGTTAGTTATGCTGTTGGAATGCAGGTGCCGTGTCTATTCCTGACTAAAAGGCAGCTGTGGGCACAGAATTAAATATAACACTTTTATAGATCTCTATCTATCTGGGTATATCCAAGCCTGCATCAGTGACCTCACTGCCTGGCCTGATGTCAGAGCCCTCTGCCTAGGCATGTGTTACGTGCCTTTGGTCACAGACACACACGCACTCACACACACACTCAGTACTGTCACTGCATTTCCTCAAACACAAATAGCACAGTGACAGCCCATGGGTACTTCAACATGCACAAGATGTGTGTCTGGACGGCCATGGCGTGTCAGGGAAAGAATAACTCTCCTATCTGAGGCTACTAGGAGAGCATTTCTGGAACAGCTTTATCTGCCACATCTTGGTACTCATCTGCAGCTGCCAGTGAATAGCTGAGTTAGGGTGGCAACAACCTCACCCAGTAGTGCAACAATGGTGGAGGTGCCGCATTGAACTAAAACGTTCAACATATAATAAATATAAATGAATACCTGGAATATACAATATCTCCAAAAGTCATTGACATATTAATAAATGAGTGGTAGATTAAATGTATAGGAAGGAAAAGATCATTGTATAGTTGATATACTGCAGACCTATGGAGAGAGAGAAGTAAGTACAGATTGTGGTTAATCTTTCCTTTCTCATCAGTATAATGACATTGTGCACAGTAGAGAGAACTTCTAAAGCCTAGACACAATGTTCATTAAACATCTCCTGCATATGGCAGCGGTACGGTAGATAAGGTAGATAAGAGTTAGTATGGTATGCACTGCACATCTGAAGTGCACTTTGTTGACCCATTATGAACTCCGCTGAACTCCTCACTGCTGTCATCTATAGGCCAAACGGGGAAAATACATTACAATTGCATGACAAGCAGTGAAGGAAATGAGATAATCTCTCACTCCCTCTCTCTTTTCTCTCTGACATAGTTCTTAAATTGTTTAATGTTGTTCTTCCTGATCTTTGTTGCCTAGCGACGTCTTTACTGTGAGCCGAGGCTGCACGGCAGGGGTGGAGCTGGTAGATGAGAGGCATGGAGGCTTGTCACGCACGCACGCTCACACACACACACACACACACCTTTCCACCATACACACATGCACACACATAGCCTTCCACCTGTGCTATCACCACCAGAGAGCTGACAAGTGTGCAACATGTCTGGATCAAAGAGACCAGAAAGGAGTCTGTGTTCTTCACCACAGAACAAACATGATGTGCAGGGGATTTTTCCAGGCTGAACAGAACATACTTTTAACTCATCCATGTGGACTCTCATCACAGGCTAAGTTAGGGAACGAGTTGAGACTGGCCGACACTGGGGGTCTGTAATTACCCATCCAGCTGTCTTTGCCAAAGCATTTGAACCCTGACCTCTGGTAATTACACCACTCATAATTACATTGAACCTCACTGTGGTTCACAGCCATCTTTACCTGCCAAGCCAGATATAAATGATTTACTCTGTGTCGTTTAATGGTGTTAGTAACATACAGCTAGTTAGGTGATACTGAACCCCATCTGTAACTTAGCTCCCTCTGCTGGAGATAACACAGTCCCTCTGGAGAGAGAATAACTGGAGAGGCAACAAGTGCAAATAGACTGACTGAAAGGCAGGAAAGCAGACAGACAAACAAATATTCTGGAGCATATAAAAAATAAAAAAAGGGAATTGTTCCCATGAGTGATTGTAACTGGCTGTAGTGCGTAGACCCTGAGGAACAGCAGCCTGCATCCTCAACTAGGGTCAAGCAGCTGGCCTTTCCCTTTTATTCATTACATTTGTTGTTGTTGCTACTTTTAATTGTCTACAGTCCACACTCTTGGTATTTGTGATTTAATGGTGCATATCATTTGTGATTAGCAGATGTTTCCAAGCCCTGCGGTTCTCTAACATCTTGACTTCATTAGGGAAAGTGCTGGTGTGTAGTATATTCATACTTACACACAAGCAGGGACACACATAATGTTTTAGAAGGTGACCTAAGGTGTAGACCAATAGCTAGCATTAAGAGAACACCTCCACACCATATATGTACCTATCTTGAGTAGGGAAGCTCAACACTAACGACAACACAAAAGAGTAAGTTTACCAACACTCATATCCAAATAACTTTCTGAAACTTTCAAATGGTTCCTTTTTTATTTACACTATATATACAAAAGTATGTGGACACCCCTTCAAATTAGTGGATTCGTCTATTTCAGCCACACCCGTTGCTGACAGGTGCAATCTCAATAGACAAACATTGGCAGTAGAATGGCCTTACTGAAGAGCTCAGTGACTTTAAACGTGGCACCGTCATAGGATGCCACCTTTCCGACAAGTCAGTTCATCAGATTTCTGCCCTGCTAGAGCTGCCCCGGTCAACTGTAAGTGCTGTTATTGTGAAGTGGAAACGTCTAGGAGCAACAACGGCTCAGCCGTGAAGTGGTAGGCCACACAAGCTCACAGAATGGGACCGCCGAGTGCTGAAGCGCCTAGCGCGTAAAAATCGCCTGTCCTCGGTTGCAACACTCACTACCGAGTTCCAAACTGCCTCTGGAAGCAACGTCAGCACAATAACTGTTCGTCAGGAGCGTCATGAAATGGGTTTCCATGGCCGAGCAGCCGCACACAAGCCTAAGATCACCATTCGCAATGCCAAGTGTTGGCTGGAGTGGTGTAAAACTCGCCGCCATTGGACTCTGGAGCATTGGAAACGCGTTCTCTGGAATGATGAATCACGCTTCACCATCTGGCAGTCCGACAGACAAATCTGGGTTTGGCGGATGCCAGGAGAACGCTACCTGCCCAAATGCATAGTACCAACTATAAAGTTTGGTGGAGGAGGAATAATGGTCTGGGGCTGTTTTTCAATGGTTCGGGCTAGGCCCCTTAGTTCCAGTGAAGGGAAATCTTAACGCTACAGCATACAATTACATTCTAGATGATTCTGTGCTTCCAACTTTGTGGCAACAGTTTGGGGAAGGCCCTTTCCTATTTCAGCATGACAGTGCTCCTGAGTGGCGCAGTGGTCTAAGGCACTGCATCGCAGTGCTAACTGTGCCACTAGAGATCCTGGTTCGTATCCAGGCTCTGTCGCAGCCGGCCGCGACCGGGAGACTCATGGGCGGCGCACAATTGGCCCAGCGTCGTCCAGGGTAGGGGAGGTAATGGCCGGCAGGGATGTAGCTCAGTTGATAGAGCATGGTGTTTGCAATGCCAGGGTTGTGGGTTCGATTCCCACGGGGGGCCAGTATAAAAAAATATATGTATTCACTAACTGGAAGTCGCTCTGGATAAGAGCATCTGCTAAATGACTAAAATGTAAATGTAAATGCCCCCGTGCACAAAGCAAGGTCCATTCAGAAATGGTTTGTCGAGATCGGTGTGGAAGAACTTGACTTGCCTGCACAGAGCCCTGACCTCAACCCCATTGAACACCTATGGGATGAATTGGAACACTGACTGTGAGCCAGGCCTAATCGCCCAACATTAGTGCCCGACCTCACTAATGCTTGTGGATGAATGGAAGCAAGTTCCTGCGGCAATGTTCCAACATCTAGTGGAAAGCCTTTCCAGAAGAATGGAGGCTGTTATAGCAGCAAAGGGGGGACCAACTCCATATTCATGCCCATGATTTTGGAATGAGAAGTTCGACGAGGAGGTGTCCACAACTTTTGGTCATGTAGTGTATGTACTGTATCTCTAAAGATGCTTCAGAGAGTCTATAGTTTAGTGGCTGCAGTATAAAAGCTGTTGAGTTGGGTTGTTGCATAAACAGGTGCAGTTAGTCTGGGGCCTGAGTCTGATTCTGGTCCCTGCAGTGTCAAGCAGCGACCGACCGGAGTCTCCTCTCCTCGGACTGGACAGATTTGACAGGAACAGGAAGAGATGCAGACGATAAAGCCCCTGCTGTGTTTGAAGTGGTTCAGCTCAGAGCGCACAAAGACACAGTCACACAGGGCTACAACCATCACCACCCTTAGCCCCGCACGCAAAGGCATACCCTGTCTCTTCAGTCATTCCAGACCAGGCTAGGCATGAAGGAAACATCAAGGCAGCAAGGCAAAGCTTGCAGTGGTTTGGTTTGGAGGGCCAGTGGTTCCATTTTTACCATTCTCTCTCTCTCTCTCTCTCTCTTTGTGTTTGTTTATAGTCTATATCTCTGACAGGAGAGAGAACTGATCAGAGGTCTCCTCACCTCATACAGTCCTATTTGGGTTTTAGAGACAAGGCTTCACTGGAGGAAAGGAGTCAGTTGAGTCAGTTCAATGTCTCTGCTCTACAAGAGCCAGTTGATTAGTTAGTTTCCGTTGGCTTATCGTTTTGAGTGACAGTTGCCGTGGGCAGGGCTATGGAGGTCAGGTATTGAGCATGAGCTCTCCTTGTCCGGAGCCCCACTCCCTGAACCCTGTCTCTCCGCTGGAGTGGGGCGGGTTGTCTAAGGAGAGGCCCCGCCTCTTCCCAAACACTTGCTCCTGCAGCTCGATGATGTCAATGCGAATGTCGGCCATCATGAGTAGGAGGAAGTCAAAGGAGCCGGGAGGTCCCTTGGGAAAGATACGGAGGTTTTAATATCTCTATCCACACATCAGTAAATGAGATTTCAACCTGTAAGGCATGTTACGTGCTTTTGGCTGGACTTACTGTATGCTTGTAATCCGATATTAGATAGAATAGAATGAACAAGATGACAATGATGAAAATGATGAAAATGCATTTAAAAATAGTTCAAAGCCTAGCTGGCAAATATAGTAAGTCAGAAAGCAGACTCACTGGTGGACCTCTGGTACCAGGAGTTCCTCTGTCACCCTAAAGAGAAAGAAACATCCAGAAACGTCCAGTTCCGTACTTCCAACATTCACACAGGCTTCTATAAGAGCTCACATTGGCAGCTCAGAGCTCTCAGGGTGGGGTGAAAAGTGTTGCTGTTAATGTTCCAGTTACCAGCTTTGAAACGTTTACAGGAAAGTTTAAACACATACAGTACACACACAAGCATTTACTAAACATACACAGACACATGGATAGACTGTTATACTGACCTTCAGTCCATCTCTGCCTGGTGCGCCAGGAGGTCCCTGTTGGAAAAAGGAGCAACAGAAATATGGGTTGAAATGTTTTTAGTGGGAGCTACAGCTCCTCTCATGCAACATTTATTGTAATGATGTATCTCTGCAGCTATGGATGTGTTGAGGTCTGCCTGGACTAATAGACCCAACAGCATGTTATTGGGGGAGAAATAATAAGTTTACCACAGCTCCTCTGCGACCCCTCTTGATGTGCTCCAGGTCAGGCTCGGGGCCCATAGGGCCCATGTCTCCCCGTGGCCCCTGGGGGCCGGTCAGGCCTCTCTCTCCAGGCTCTCCCTTCTCCCCCGGCAATCCTGAGTGGCCTGGGATCCAAGAATAAAGGGATGTAAGAGGAACCATGGAGTATCAGCCTGCTGAATATCAGCCAACAAACGGCTGACATAGGCAGTAAACAGAGAGATAGTTGAGAGAGAAAGACTGAGTTAGAAAGATTCCGAGAAAGAGAAGACAACTCTTACCTGGGACCCCAGGGGATCCTGGAGAGCCAGGAGGACCAGGGAGGGCGGGGATGTCAGGACCTTTCCCCACCCTCCCAGCAGACGGCTTATTACTGTTGTTAGCCAGGCCAGGAGACAACACCTACAGACAGGTACACACACAGGTTGTAGTACAACAACCTGTCTCAATTTGGCCAGACTTCCATTGTGAGACATCAAGTCTGGCGAGGCTAGTTTACGGTTAGTGTATCTCTGGTTAGTGTATCTCTGTGTTTGTATGGAACAACAGTGTAAGTAAGATGTGCAGTAGTTAGTGTTGTGATGTAGATGTACCTGGTTAGGTGACTGAGTGCTGCCCAGCCTCAGTTTGAGCTGCAGCAGGCTGTTCCTCATGTTGACAAAGTCCTGACAGGTGAGGGAGCAGGAGCCAGCACTCATCAGGGTGTCAGACTTCCCTGACGAGCTCACTGACAGAAAGACACAGAGACAAAGAGACTCTCAGAGACACAGGCTTGTTACAGAGTAAGTAACACTACAGAATAAGTAACACAAACAGAAAGTCTAGTAGTCTATGTTTACCGTCTCAAACACATACACTGTACCCTCAGGCTGAAGACACACAGGAAGGTACTGGAGAGCTAAACCCAGAGGTAGTGTAGCTGTAGTAGCCAGGCTCATGTAGACAGTAGGAGTAAAATATAGTAGTATACTGAACACCCACGGTTGTGACTGGGTATACAGGAGTGCTTGTCCGGTGCCAGGATGTAACCACTGCGACAGCGACACAGGAAGCTGCCCACGGTGTTCTCACAGTCGTGATCACAGACACTGCCGTCGGACTCCACACACTCATCTATGTCTGTGGGTGGTGTGGAAGACACAACACCAGCTGTGACTTTACACCCTCTGATTAAGGCTGCATTTAGGCTGCTCTAATCAGAGGGAGGGAGAGAGAGCGGTTGCTCTGATGCAGGATGTTAAATAGAGATTTATACAAAAGAAGACAATGCTGATTGGCTGATAAACAGGCTGATAAACAGCTGATTGGCAGATAAACAGGTAGTGGACTTACCTAAACAGTAGGTCTGGTGGTTGCGATGCCTCTCTCGATCAAAGCGGTATCCGGGGTAACAGGTGCAGACAACCCGTCCAAAGTTGTCGGTGCACTGCTGTTCACAGGGGGAGCCAGAACACACATCCACATCTGGAGCAGATAAAGGGGAGGGATTGGTTCATCAATAGGGACATGCACAGATAGGACCTTACATGCAAAGCTAACAGCTCAATAATAACCTTGGATGGCCAATAATATTCCTCAAGGGTATTCCTTTGTAATGTTGCCATCTAGTGGTCATGGTGTGTCATTGTACAGTATTGACAATTTATGGAATTACATCTATTTTACTCTTCGATACAATTTGCAGTTCAGTAATGGGTTAATTTGGCATAAGTAATTTGCATTCTGTCTGTGTACAGGTGCCCAGGTGTAATTACAGGCACTGAGTATAGAATCTGACTTGGGGTGAGTAGAACTGGTGTATTTGTTTAACCTACTTTCAGGTATGCACTGGCCCATCACAAACCTGAAGCCCTCACAGCATTTCCTCCTGTGGATAAACACACAGACAGACAGTAGCATGAGCCAATAATTCATATCCCAGCTGCTGTATCCTTCCCTTCACATACTGAATGGATCTACACAGCCACTAAATGTGAAACACCAGAAATACTGTATATAATGACAAGATGCTCATGTCTCCGCCCTAACAATGGGAGTCTTTGTCCCAAAGGAGGGAAGGCAGGTGGTCTGCTTATCTCTCTGCTTATCAGTTTCCTAATCGTGGACAGATTTTGACAGGAGTAAACGCTCTCGCTTCGCCTCTTCCTCTCTGGTAACACCCAGCCTGTCAATTGTCTTTAGGACCAAAGATCCTCATTAGCACCAGATCCCTCACCTCCCTCCCCACTTCCCAACAGCACTAGCCTAGATGGTCAAGAGACAGCTGAACAAAGAGCATCATCCTCACACACAGCAAACCAAAACACCACATGTTACAGGCATTAGGGATGGAACTGCGGAATAGGAAACGATGGAAAGGGATATTGGAACACTCATAGAATCACAGAACCAAAATAACACAGACCATAGACGAAGAGGGGGGTGGAGGTTATGGGGGGAAACACACAACTCCTGCCCCGAAAACTGCACGCTCTTGATGGAGGGAATTTAGCATGGTACCTCACTCAAGGTTCCCTGAAGATAACAACTTGCTTTTATTCTTCTCCAACCTCTATGCAACATAACCCTAAATCACTCCTCTAAGACCCTCCCCCACTCCCTCTTCTGAATGATAAATAACCTACAAAACTATGGGCCTGGCCAGGGCCTAATTAAAGCTACATGACGGACTGGCGCTTTAATCTGTGGCTCATAGCTTTGTTGTGTTGTGATGGAGAGAGCTGGGGATGAGATGGGACAATACTGGGGGTCTGCTAGGGGCTCTGGCCAGGGGCCTGAAGGACATCTCTCTCCAGGCCTGCCACCTCATGTCCCTCCAGTCAGTGTGTCCAGAGAAGAGAGGGCCAGGCTGGGCTAATGGACAGCAGATGTGGGCCCTGTCCGTCCGTCCGTCCGCCCGCCCGCCCGCCCGCCTGCCTGCCTGCCTGTCTGTCTGTCTGTCTGTCTGTCTGTCTGTCTGTGCTGGAGATGTACAGCCAGCAAGGGGAGGCTATGGCTGGCAGCCTCTGGTCTCTCTGAGTGTCCACTCATAACATCAACACACAACCTCTGCTCTGTGTCCACTGCTCCACTGCTCTACTCAAAACATCAACAGACAGCCTGTCACTCACACAGAGACCTGACCCCACACTGCCCCTGATCTGGGACCTGAAAAAAAGAGAAAGAAACTCTTTCATGAGCTAACTTGACTTTTTCGCCCCTTACTAGCTCTGACTTTGCTGATAGCTACTTTATTGAGGAAAAATGTACTTACTATGACTGAGATCTGTGGTTGTCCCACCTAGCCATCTTAAGATGAATGCACTAACTAAGTCACTCTGGATAAGAGCGTCTACTAAATGACTAAAATTTCAAAGTAAATGCTAGAGGTGTCTCTGATTGATGATAACGGCTCTTCAGTGGTCTGTATAAACTGCTCAGGTTATTAGTTACACAGTGTGATGACCTGTCTGTTGATGTTTGGGAATGTAGGGGTTGGTCTCTGTTGATGAACACTGTTCCCTGATCTAAAAGGGAAAAGGCCAAACCACTAAAGCTACATCACTGTCCTCCACAGTGAGATAACCGCTTCTCATGCTCCCCCGCGTGTGTGTGTGTGTGTGTGCGTGTGTGTGTGCGTGTGTGTGTGTGTGCCTGGGGCCCAGAGCAGTCAGTAATTGGGTGCATCTTGTTAATGTCAAGAAACAGGGCAGGGGTTATTAGTGAGAGTGATGTGTGACACTGACAGGACTGTTAAGCACAGCCTTAAGGAGGAGAGCTACCAGACCAGGCTCTTCCTTCACTTCTCTGCTCTGCTCTCTTCACAATACAGACAAACATCAAGGTTAGGTGACTAACAAGGTTAGGAGAGTACACTCTTAGAAAAAAAAGGTGCTATCTAGAACCTTAAAGAGTTTTTCGGCTGTCCCCATACAGTGAGGGAAAAAAGTATTTGATCCCCTGCTGATTTTATACGTTTGCCCACTGACAAAGAAATGATCAGTCTATCATTTTAATGGTAGGTTTATTTGAACAGTGAGAGACAGAATAACAAAAAAGAAATCCAGAAAAACGCATGTCAAAAATGTTATAAATTGATTTGCATTTTAATGAGGGAAATAAGTATTCTGCAAAACATGACTTAGTACTTGGTGGCAAAACCCTTGTTGGCAATCACAGAGGTCAGACGTTTCTTGTAGTTGGCCACCAGGTTTGCAAACATCTCAAGAAGGATTTTGTCCCACTCCTCTTTGCAGATCTTCTCCAAGTCATTAAGGTTTTGAGGCTAACATTTGGCAACTCGAACCTTCAGCTCCCTCCACAGATTTTCTATGGGATTAAGGTCTGGAGACTGGCTAGGCAACTCCAGGACCTTAATGTGCTTCTTCTTGAGCCACTCCTTTGTTGCCTTGGCCGTGTGTTTTGGGTCATTGTCATGCTGGAATACCCATCCACGACCCATTTTCAATGCCCTGGCTGAGGGAAGGAGGTTCTCTCCCAAGATTTGACGGTACATGGCCCCGTCCATCGTCCCTTTGATGCGGTAAAGTTGTCCTGTCCCCTTAGCAGAAAAACACCCCCAAAGCATAATGTTTCCACCTCCATGTTTGACGGTGGGGATGGTGTTCTTGAGGTCATAGGCAGCATTCCTCCTCCTCCAAACACAGCGAGTTGAGTTGATGCCAAAGAGCTCCATTTTGGTCTCATCTGACCACAACACTTTCACCCAGTTCTCCTCTGAATCATTCAGATGTTCATTGGCAAACTTCAGACGGGCATGTATATGTGCTTTCTTGAGCAGGGCGACTTTGCGGGCGCTGCAGGATTTCTTCATGGTGTAATGTGTTACCAATTATTTTCTTGGTAACTATGGTCCCAGCTGCCTTGAGATCATTGACAAGATCCTCCCTTGTAGTTCTGGGCTAATTCCTCACCGTTCTCATGATCATTGCAACTCCACGAGGTGAGATCTTGCATGGAGCCCCAGGCTGAGGAAGATTGACAGTTATTTTGTGTTTCTTCCATTTGCGAATAATCACACCAACTGTTGTCACCTTCTCACCAAGCTGCTTGGCGATGGTCTTGTAGCCCATTCCAGCCTTGTGTAGGTCTACAATCTTGTCCCTGACATCCTTGGAGAGCTCTTTGGTCTTGGCCATGGTAGAGAGTTTGGAATCTGATTGATTGATTGCTTCTGTGGACAGGTGTCTTTTATACAGGTAACAAGCTGAGATTAGGAGCACTCCCTTTAAGAGTGTGCTCCTAATCTCAGCTCGTTACCTGTATAAAAGACACCTGGGAGCCAGAAATCTTTCTGATTGAGAGGGGGTCAAATACTTATTTCCCTCATTAAAATGCAAATCAATTTATAACATTTTTGACATGCGTTTTTCTGGATTTTGTTGTTGTTATTCTGTCTCTCACTGTTCAAATAAACCTACCATTAAAATTATAGACTGATCATTTCTTTGTCAGTGGGCAAACGTACTAAATCAGCAGGGGATCAAATACTTTTTTCCCTCACTGTAGGAGAACCCTTTGAAGAACCCTTTTGGTTGCAGGTAGAACCCTTTTGGGTTCCATGTAGAACCCTTTCTACAGAGGGTTCAACCTGGAACCAAAAAGTGCTCTACCTGGAACCAAAAAGGGTTATCCTATCGGGACTGCCGAAGAACACTTTTGGAACCATTTTTTCTAAGAGAGTATCTTTCTCTACTCCCAGATTTTCAATACTGATGGTCGGATTCTATGGTATTTTCCTGCCCATTCGATTCTTCTGTGTTTCTACATTCTGCATCAACATGTCCTTCACAAGCATATTGTCTGATTAAGTTCCTTCAGAAGATGAGTAGAGTCCCTGTGTCACCCTGAGGGTATTCCTGCTGTTAGACACTGCTTCTCTTAATTCTCCACACTCTAACATAGTGCCTACAGACCCACCAGGTCTGTCTGACCATGCAAGTCACCCAGCTATGAGTCCGTTTTAGGAGCACCATGCCTGGGCATCCCTGTCCCTGTGCTCCCCCTGGTCCTCCTTAGTGCTGGTGGTGACCCAGTGACTACCTGCAGAGAGAGGGACGTACCGAGGGCCCACACAGGCTCTACACTACACTGCTGCTGCCAAAAACAGCACAGAGACGCTGGAGGAATAGCAAGACAGGATCCAGAGTACAGGCCAGAGCAGGATCACTTTACACGCCAGATTATGTACTTTAGCAAGGGTCTCCCTCCAGGGAAGAGAGATCAATGTTATTGTTTTCCATCCAGGCTGGCGTGATTTATTTGTGCTTTCGTGGCAGGAATGCACTACAAAGACTGGATATTCATTATAGACCCACCCAGGAATGCACTACAAGACTGGATATTCATTATAGACCCCCCCCCCCCCCCCCCCCCCCCCCCGCCCCCAACCGTCTACAACCTGGACAGACATAACTGAGGTTACACAGAGAGAGCAGAGCAGAGACCAATCTAGAATGATGGTTTCCATAAACCAGACTGAAGTCACTATGTATTAACAGTTCCACTCACTCAGTACAGGATTGCTCCCAGGACCTCAGATAGTGTTTCTGTTTCTAGATATGGGGGAGATAGCGAAGAGGGACAACAGTATCATTAGATGTCCTGTGCCACTTTAGTGAGGCAACGTTATGTATCATATTTACTCGGTCAACTCCCAGACTCCTCAGAGAGACAGCGGAGATGACTTAAGGGGGTTGTTGTGGCGATGGAAACGCAGCGAGGAGGAAATGAGACAGGGAGATGTTGACACGTCGAGGAGAGGAGGAGGATGGAGGGAGAGAGAAGGAGTGAAAGAAAGAGAGATGTAGCTTTTGTGTCAGTTGTGCTTGATGGTCCTTCATGTGGTGCTCTGTGAGTCAGAAACACAGGAAGTGGACCTCGGTGGAGGTCACTGACCCCTCGACACTTCAGGA